GCGCGCCCCGTCTGGGTAGTGCTGCTTTTGTTTGTGTGTGTGTGTGTGTTCTTATGTGTTTTCTGTTATTCTTTGTTTACACTTTTGTGTTGGTCTGTGTTACTTGTTATCTGTGTTGTTGTTATTCTATGTTCTTCGTTATTCTGTGCTTTCCTGTTTATATGGTTACTATACGCTGTACTTGCTCTGTTTAAAAAAAAAAAAAAAAAAAAAAAAAAAAATTAATTAGCTCATAAGTCAGAATGACTAGGCTACTAATCTCACTGTCGACTCAGAATCTTCCTTGATTTTAATGAACAAATCTTTTCAGTTCTCTAATTTTCCACTATCTTAGCTAGTTAGCAAATTAGTTGTACCATCAGTCAGAATGACTACTGCACGGCAGTGCACATTAAATTCAATTTCCTCATTTGATTTTGGGGTGATCGTGGTGCTGCGTGATGTTATTGTCTGGTAACTCAATAGTTACAAGTCACAGTGACCCTAGACAGTGACCTTACTGTAGTGTCATAGTCTCCTTGATCTTAAATGACCCAATAATCCTTTACTGTATAATAATGTAGAATACAACTTATACAATAATGTTATCAGTTCTTCGGAAATTTTTCTGAGTTTGCCTACGATTCAGCAGCTACGTAATACATCATTACATGTCACTGCGACCCTAGTTGTTGAGTTTATTGTGAGCTTTAGAGAGTTCCTGATTACCGATAACTTAATCATTTAATGTTACAATATTTAATACGTGTTTCCACTAGAGCAGTTGTTCAACAATGCAAACGGAAACTACAAGCCTATTATAGCTCTAACGGAGAGAAAATAACTTCTCATCCAATTTAAGTAACCATGATGATACTGTGGTGTGATGTCAAGTAACAAATCATTACAAGTCACTATGACCCAGGACATTCTCATCACAGTGGATTCTCAGTTATTTGAATTGTGTGATTTAAATTCTTAATCGTTGTGTAGGCTATAAATAACATTATTTATCTAGAGTATCTGAGAGTTACAGACTTTGAGACTTAGTAACATAAACATTACAGGTCATTGCGACACCAGTCACCGAGTTTATTGTAAGCTTTTAGTTATTAGCTTTAGGTAATTCATAATAACATGTTCCATTTAACATGAAATCTGCAAGACCTAAGTTTCTTGTATGTCCTTGACAAATACGGGAGATTCGTTATGTGTGTACTAACATACTAATATTAATACCAACTTCGGGATGGGTGTGTCAGTACTCCACATTACACTGCGACCCGATAAATCTCCCCCCGGAGTTATGTTGGAAATTTCCAACACTAATACAACACTGTTGTATTATTATTAATTATTACTAAAATCTACTAATCACTGTAGTAACTAAAATTAACCAACCGTAGAGTTCACATGTACTAATAGTTGTATCTGTACAATAATGCTAGAATTCTTACGTCACCAGACGCCAGTATTGCGTCAGATTCCACCATAATAAACACATCTATATCCAGTGTGTCAGAGAATTGAGTTTGATTCTCTAAAAACAACAGTGTTCTGTGTGATAATTATTTACCGATAACCTGACTCCCAAATAATGCCAAATAGAGCGTTTCTAGTTACAACTGTTATCTTTTAATAAATTTAACGTCACGCGTGAATGCCATGGAGAGAATTAAATTCATCTCCATTGCTCGTTTACCATCGTAAAACGAGCAAATAATAATATTTAACTCCTCTGAATTATAAACCCGCCATTATCAAAGCATTTAGTCGCAACTGCGAAAAATAATATTATTCGCAGTAAATAATTTGTGTAGCAAATGCGAGACGCAGAGCGGGGCAGAGGAGACGCCACCAAGAGCGTGTGGAAGTGTCGACGAGAGAGGAAAGTCGCCACTGTGTGGTGTGAAGAATAGTTGCGGAATTGAGCAACTTGGCTGGTGTCAGTGTCATAGGATACATCGTGGTGAATCGTCAACGAGAATTAACTTGACATTCAGCCCGGAACCTGTTAATTTGTTCCGTGTAGTCCATCGTGACCGGCCAGAGAAGTGCGTCGACATCTAGGCTAGGCTCAACGCCACGTGTTCGCTATTACGACGCTAGATCCTAGGACGTGAGCTTCGGCAAGCTTCAACTTACACAGTGCCCTATTAGCTAAGTACACTTATTCCCTTTTGATGCATCATTAGAGATAGTTTACAGCAGGGTAGCTTGTCACGCCGAGCGTCATAAATAAAACACATGTTAGTATAATTTTCCACTCTCCATTTCCAATTTCTTGAATATAGATATTTAGCAGCCTAATATGTTGCTACGTAATATATCTTGATTTACAGCTTGCGTGTGAAGAATTCCCCGAGCTGTCACTTTCCCGTGTTAATCATCTCCCAGTGTTCCATGATGAGTTCAGGAGATTCCGAGGATGATTCATGACTGATGTCTTGGAAAACGTCTTCAAGCTAAGACCTTCTTCCGTATTCCATTAATTAAATTATCTGTAGTTTATTATTACTACTGATCACTGTTCACTGGATTTAACACGTGTTTCTTATAATCATTAATTTCTGATATTCATAATCTATGTTCTTATTGGTGACAAATTTATTGATTCTATAATTGGTCATTGGATTAAGTTATTACATAATAAACTGGTGTACGAACCACACTAGTTCCTAGACATATATGAAGTTCTAGTAATACCCCCCCAATGTAGGTGTTTGAAGCTTTGATTCAATTAAATTATACAGCCCATTAATTATACAAGTGATTATATTCTCTAGTATTTATCCATAGTTACTGGTTCCTCTAGGAATTTTCTAATGATCACATTTTATTAGTTTCCCTCTTTACTATAAAAGCGGGTGGTCCTTCGTAATTGATTTCATTACATTAATATTTAAATAAATAGAGTCAAGCCCCAAATGTCCCACATCATCCCGCACCTGCTCTCTGGCTAATCATCAGGCAGATGCCCTCTGGCTCATCATCAGGCAGCTGCATTCTTGAGAATCATCAGGCGCCTGTACTCTTGTTCATCATCAGGCAGCTGCACTCAGGCTCATCATCAGGAAACTGCACTTTGGTTCATCATCAGGCAGCTGCACTCTGGCTCATCATCATCAGGCAGCTGCATTCTGGCTCATCATCAGGCAGCTGTACTCTAGTTCATCATCATGCTCCTGCACTCTGGCTCATCATCACGCAGCTGCACTATGTCTCATCATCTGGCAGTTGCACTCTGGGTCATCATCAGGCAGTTGCACTCTGGCTCATCATCCGGCACCTGAACTCTGGCTAATTATCAGGCACCTGAACTCTGGCTAATTATCAGGCAGATGCCCTCTGGCTCATTATCAGGCAGCTGCACTCTGGCTCATCATCAGGCACCTGCACTCTAGTTCATCATCAGGCACCTGCACTCTGGCTCATCATCATCTCGCAGTTGCACTGTGGCTCATCATCAGGAACCTGCACTCTAGGTCATCATCAGGCAGCTGCACTCTGGCTCATCATCAGGCAGCTGCATTCTGGCTCATCATCAGGCAGCTTCATTTTGGCTCATCATCAGGAAGCTGCACTCTGGCTCATCATCCGGCACCTGCACTCTGGCTAATCATCAGGCAGAGGCACTCTGGCTCATCATCACGCAGCTGCACTCTGGCTAATCATCAGGCAGCTGCACTCTGGCTAATCATCTGGCACCTGCACTCTGGCTCATTATCAGGTACCTGCACTCTTGCCCATCATCAGGCAGCTGTACTCTGCCTCATCATCAGTCAGTTGTTCTCTGGATCATCATCAAACAGATGCACCCTGGCTCATCATTTGGCAGCTGCATTCTGGCTCATCATCAGGCACCTGAATTCTTGTTAATCATCAGGCAGCTGCACTCTGGCTCATCATCAGTCAGTTGGTCTCTGGCTCATCATCAGGCAGCTTCATTTTGGCTCATCATCCGGCACCTGCACTCTGGCTAATCATTAGGCAGCTGTACTCTGGCTCATCATCAGGCACCTGCACTCTGGTTCATCATCACGCAGCTGCACTCTGGCTCATCATCATCACACAGCTGCACTCTGGCTCATCATCAGGCAGCTGCATTTTGGCTCATCATCAGGCAGCTTCATTTTGGCTCATCATCAGGCAGCTGTACTCTGGCTCATCATCAGGCAGTTGCACTCTGTATCATCATCAAACAGATGCACTGTGGCTCATCATCAGGCAGCTGCGTTTTGGCTCATCATCTGGTACCTGCACTCCTGTTCATCATCAGGCACCTGCACTCCTGTTCATCATCAGGCAGCTGCACTCTGGTTCATCATCAGGCAGCTGCGTTTTCGCTCATCATCAGGCAGCTGCACTCTGTCTCATCATCAGGCACCTGCACTCCTGTTCATCATCAGGCAGCTGCACTCTGGTTCATCATCAGGCAGCTGCATTCAGGCTCATCATCAGGCAGCTGTACTCTGGTTCATCTTCAAGCTCCTGCACTCTGGCTCATCATCGGCGATCCAGCACCTGCACTCTGGATTATCATCAAACAGGCGCACTCTGGCTCATCATCTGGCAGCTGCATTCTGGCTCATCATCAGGCAGCTGCACTCTAGCTCATCATCAACAGGCAGCTGCATTCTGGTTCATCATCAGGCAGCGTCACTCAGGATCATCATCAGGCACCTGCACTCTGGATCATCATCATCACGCAGCTTTACTGCGGCTCATCATCAGGCCCCTGCACTCCTGTTCTTCATCAGGCACCTTCAGTCTGGCTCATCATCAGACAGCTGGACTCCGGCTCATCATCAGGCAGTTGCACTATGGCTCATTTTCAGGCAGCTGTGCTCTGATTCATCATCAGGCACCTGCACTCTAGCTCATCATCAGGCAGCCGCACTCTTTGCTCATCGTCAGGCAGCTGAACTCAAGATAGCGAGACAAAGGTTCACTGAGCCACGTGCCTCACGTGTGAGGCACGTGAGCCCCGGGAACCGCCGGGTAGGAGGCATGACACTCACCAAGGCGCCGAGGACGTCGTCAGGGACGTTTCTCTCCATGTCACAGAGTGCACGGACGCCCGAGTGCGAGAAGAGGACAGGGGCGCGGGAGGCGGCCAGCACGTCCCGGGTGGTCCGGCTGGAGGAGTGGGACACGTCCACCATCAGCCCCAGGCGGTTCATCTCCCGGATTATCTCCTGCAATGTTAAGGAGAACTGCATGTTAGAGTTGAGGTTAGGTTTGCTGATGGGCTGGTGAGGAGGGGGTGGTGATGATGGGCTGGTGAGGAGGGGGTGGTGATGGCTGGTGAGGAGGGGAAGGTGATGACGGCTGGTGAGGAGGGGGTGGTGATGATGGGCTGGTGAGGAGGGGGTGGTGATGACGGCTGGTGAGGAGGGGGTGGTGATGATGGGCTGGTGAGGAGGGGAAGGTGATGACGGCTGGTGAGGAGGGGGTGGTGATGATGGGCTGGTGAGGAGGGGGTGGTGATGACGGCTGGTGAGGAGGGGGTGGTGATGATGGGCTGGTGAGGAGGGGGTGGTGATGACGGGCTGGTGAGGAGGGGGTGGTGATGACGGGCTGGTGAGGAGAGGGTGGTGATGATGGTGCTGGTGAGGAGGGGGTGGTGATGACGGCTGGTGAAAAGGGGGTGGTGATGATGGGCTGGTGAGGAGGGGAAGGTGATGACAGCTGGTGAGGAGGGGGTGGTGATGATGGGCTGGTGAGGAGGGGGTGGTGATGATGGGCTGGTGAGGAGGGGGTGGTGATGATGGGCTGGTGAGGAGGGGAAGGTGATGACGGCTGGTGAGGAGGGGGTGGTGATGATGGGCTGGTGAGGTGGGGGTGGTGATGACGGCTGGTGAGGAGGGGGTGGTGATGATGGGCTGGTGAGGAGGGGGTGGTGATGACGGGCTGGTGAGGAGGGGGTGGTGATGACGGGCTGGTGAGGAGGGGGTGGTGATGATGGCTGGTGAGGAGGGGGTGGTGATGACGGGCTGGTGAGGAGGGGGTGGTGATGATGGGCCGGTGAGGAGGGGGTGGTGATGACGGCTGGTGAGGAGGGGGTGGTGATGATGGGCTGGTGAGGAGGGGGTGGTGATGACGGGCTGGTGAAGAGGGGGTGGTGATGATGGGCTGGTGAGGAGGGGGTGGTGATGACGGCTGGTGAGGAGGGGGTGGTGATGATGGGCTGGTGAGGAGGGGGTGGTGATGATGGGCTGGTGATGAGGGGGTGGTGATGATGGGCTGGTGATGAGAGGGTGGTGATGACGGCTGGTGATGAGGGGGTGGTGATGACGGCTGGTGAGGAGGGGGTGGTGATGACGGCTGGTGAGGAGGGGGTGGTGATGATGGGCTGGTGAGGAGGGGGTGGTGATGACGAGCTGGTGAGGAGGGGGTTGTGATGACTGGCTGGTGAGGAGGGGGTGGGGATGACGGGCTGGTGAGGAGGGGGGTGGTGATGACGGGCTGGTGAAGAGGGGGTGGTGATGATGGGCCGGTGAGGAGGGGGTGGTGATGATGGGCTGGTGAGGAGGGGGTGGTGATGACGGCTGGTGAGGAGGGGGTGATGATGATGGGCTGGTGAGGAGGGAGTGGTGATGACGGGCTGGTGAGGAGGGGGTGGTGATGATGGGCTGGTGAGGAGGGGGTGGTGATGACGGCTGGTGAGGAGGGGGTGGTGATGATGGGCTGGTGAGGAGGGGGTGGCGATGATGGGCTGGTGATGAGGGGGTGGTGATGATGGGCTGGTGATGAGAGGGTGGTGATGACGACTGGTGATGAGGGGGTGGTGATGACGGCTGGTGAGGAGGGGGTGGTGATGACGGCGGCTGGTGAGGAGGGGGTGGTGGGGTGGTGATGATGGGCTGGTGAGGAGGGGGTGGTGATGACGAGCTGGTGAGGAGTGGGTGGTGATGACTGGCTGGTGAGGAGGGGGTGTGATGACGATGACCGGCTGGTGAGGAGGGGGTGGTGATGACGGGCTGGTGAGGAGGGGGTGGTGATGATGGGCTGGTGATGAGGGGGTGGTGATGGGCTGGTGAGGAGGGGGTGGTGATGACGGCTGGTGAGGAGGGGGTGGTGATGACCGGCTGGTGAGGAGGGGGTGGTGTGATGACGGCTGGTGAGGAGGGGGTGGTGATGATGGGCTGGTGAGGAGGGGGTGGTGATGGGCTGGTGAGGGGGTGGTGATGACTGGCTGGTGAGGAGGGGGTGGTGATGACTGGCTGGTGAGGAGGGGGTGGTGATGACGGGCTGGTGATGACAGGCTGGTGAGGAGGGGGTGGTGATGACGGGCTGGTGAGGAGGGGGTGGTGATGACGGGCTGGTGAGGAGGGGGTGGTGATGATGGGCTGGGTGATGGGCTGGTGATGGGGGTGGTGATGACGGCTGGTGAGGAGGGGGTGGTGATGACGGCTGGTGAGGAGGGGGAGGTGATGACGGGCTGATGAGGAGGGGGTGGTGATGACGGGCTGGTGAGGAGGGGGTGGTGATGACGGGCTGGTGAGGAGGGGGTGGTGATGACGGGCTGGTGAGGAGGGGGTGGTGATGACGGGCTGGTGAGGAGGGGGTGGTGATGCTGGGCTGGTGAGGAGGGGGTGGTGATGACGGGCTGGTGAGGAGGGGGTGGTGATGATGGGCTGGTGAGGAGGGGGTGGTGATGACGGCTGGTGAGGAGGGGGTGGTGATGGCGGGCTGGTGAGGAGGGGGTGGTGATGATGGGCTGGTGAGGAGGGGGTGGTGATGATGGGCTGGTGAGGAGGGGGTGGTGATGACGGGCTGGTGAGGAGGGGGTGGTGATGGCGGGCTGGTGAGGAGGGGGTGGTGATGACGGCTGGTGAGGAAGGGGAGGTGATGACGGCTGATGAGGAGCGGGTGGTGATGAAGGGCTGGTGAGGAGGGGGTGGTGATGACGGGCTGGTGAGGAGGGGGAGGTGATGACGGCTGGTGAGGAGGGGGTGGTGATGACGGGCTGGTGAGGAGGGGGTGGTGATGATGGGCTGGTGAGGAGGGGGTGGTGATGATGGGCTGGTGAGGAGGGGTGGTGATGACGGGCTGGTGAGGAGGGGGTGGTGATGCTGGGCTGGTGAGGAGGGGGTGGTGAAGATGGGCTGGTGAGGAGGGGGTGGTGATGCTGGGCTGGTGAGGAGGGGGAGGTGATGATGGGCTGGTGAGGAGGGGGTGGTGATGCTGGGCTGGTGAGGAAGGGGGTGGTGATGACGGGCTGGTGAGGAGGGGGAGGTGATGACGGGCTGGTGAGGAGGGGGAGGTGATGACGGGCTGGTGAGGAGGGGGTGGTGATGATGGGCTGGTGAGGAGGGGGAGGTGATGACGGCTGGTGAAGAGTGGGTGGTGATGATGGCTGGTGAGGAGGGGGTGGTGATGATGGGCTGGTGAGGAGGGGGAGGTGATGATGGGCTGGTGAGGAGGGGGTGGTGATGATGGGCTGGTGAGGAGGGGGTGGTGATGATGGGCTGGTGAGGAGGGGTGGTGATGACGGGCTGGTGAGGAGGGGGTGGTGATGCTGGGCTGGTGAGGAGGGGGTGGTGATGATGGGCTGGTGAGGAGGGGGAGGTGATGATGGGCTGGTGAGGAGGGGGTGGTGATGCTGGGCTGGTGAGGAGGGGGTGGTGATGACGGGCTGGTGAGGAGGGGGAGGTGATGACGGGCTGGTGAGGAGGGGGAGGTGATGACGGGCTGGTGAGGAGGGGGTGGTGATGATGGGCTGGTGAGGAGAGGGAGGTGATGACGGCTGGTGAAGAGGGGGTGGTGATGATGGCTGGTGAGGAGGGGGTGGTGATGATGGGCTGGTGAGGAGGGGGAGGTGATGATGGGCTGGTGAGGAGGGGGTGGTGATGATGGGCTGGTGAGGAGTGGGTGGTGATGACGGGCTGGTGAGGAGGGGGTGGTGATGACGGGCTGGTGAGGAGGGGGTGGTGATGACGGGCTGGTGAGGAGGGGGTGGTGATGACGGGCTGGTGAGTAGTGGAAATGGCCCCATAGACCATGCGTTTTGGTTTTTCCCACGCACGGTCTATGGGGCCGGGTTTTTCTGGAATATTTTCCCACGCACGGTCTATGGGGCCGGGCTTTTCTCAAATATTTTCCCAAGCACGGTCTATGGCCCCTGGGTTTTCTGGACTATTTTCCCAAGCACGGTCTATTTCCCCTGGGTTTTCTGGAATATTTTCCCAAGCACGGTCTATGGCCCCTGGGTTTTCTGGAATATTTTCCCACGCACGGTCTATGGGGCCGGGCTTTTCTGGAATATTTTTGCACGGTCTATGGGGCCGGGCTTTTCTGGAATATTTTCCCACGCACGGTCTATGGGGCCGGGCTTTTCTGGAATATTTTCCCACGCACGGTCTATGGGGCCGGGCTTTTCAGGAATATTTTCCCACGCACGGTCTATGGGGCCGGGCTTTTCTGGAATATTTTCCCAAGCACGGTCTATGGGGCCGGGCTTTTCTGGAATATTTTCCCAGGCACGGTCTATGGGGCCGGGCTTTTCTGGAATATTTTCCCACGCACGGTCTATGGGGCCGGGCTTTTCTGGAATATTTTCCCACGCACGGTCTAAGGGGCCTGGCTTTTCTGGAATATTTTCCCACGCACGGTCTATGGGGCCGGGCTTTTCTCAAATATTTTCCCAGGCACGGTCTATGGCCCCGGGCTTTTCTCAAATATTTTCCCAGGCACGGTCTATGGGGCCGGGCTTTTCTGGAATATTTTCCCAAGCACGGTCTATGGGGCCGGGCTTTTCTGGAATATTTTCCCAAGCACGGTCTATGGCCCCGGGCTTTTCTGGAATATTTTCCCAAGCACGGTCTATGGGACCGGGCTTTTCTGGAATATTTTCCCAAGCACGGTCTATGGGGCCGGGCTTTTCTGGAATATTTTCCCAAGCACGGTCTATGGGGCCGGGCTTTTCTGGAATATTTTCCCACGCACGGTCTATGGGGCCGGGCTTTTCTGGAATATTTTCCCAAGCACGGTCTATGGGGCCGGGCTTTTCTGGAATATTTTCCCAAGCACGGTCTATGGCGCCGGGCTTTTCTGGAATATTTTCCCAAGCACGGTCTATGGGGCCGGGCTTTTCTGGAATATTTTCCCACGCACTGTCTATGGGGCCGGGCTTTTCTCAAATATTTTCCCACGCACGGTCTATGGCCTCTGGGTTTTCTGGAATATTTTCCCAAGCACTGTCTATGGCCCCTTGGTTTTCTCGAATATTTTCCCAAGCACGGTCTATGGCCCTGGGCTTTTCTCAAATATTTTCCCAAGCACGGTCTATGGCCCCAGGGTTTTCTGGAATATTTTCCCAAGCACGGTCTACGGCCCCTGGGTTTTCTGGAATATTTTCCCAAGCACGGTCTATGGCTCCTGGGTTTTCTCGAAATAATTTTCATGGCCGGTCATTGGCCCCTGCCATTTTCGCTCAAGGGGATTAAACGGCTGCCTCCAGTCATCCCAAAATTTCGTTAGCTCAGTGACCCTGCACAGGCATGTTAAAGGGGATTAAAAAGCCGGTCATTGGCCCCAGGGTTTTCTCGAATTTTCTTTCATGGCCTGACCCATGCACAGGCATAGCCAATGGTCAATGACGTCATCGGGTAGCCAGTCTTCAATTTGCCTGGGGTAGGATTAAAAAGCCGGTCCCTGGCACACCCAAATTCTGTTACCCCGGTGACCCTGCACAGACATTGCTAATGGTCAATGACGTCACCCCCGTCTTCATCTTCCCTGTATAAGTCTGTTTTCTGTTATAGTGTAATTATTTCCATTTTCAATATTTATAGCAAAGGGGGATTCAAATGCTGCCATCTGTCAAGCCTAATGTGCAATGGCGTTAATCATTATAAGCTCGTTTTTCACAATAAGGTATTACCATACGGTTTCCCATTGACTAAGATCATTTTAACATAAGAAATGAGTTCCACCCTGTTACAGAACCAGTATTTACCCAGGTCATTTTCCTAAATCTAAAAAACATATTTCCAATTTATGTCCATTGTTTCGTGTTTATAGTATTAATAGCCCATTAATATCCCTTTTGCCATGTTTCCCCTATTTCTTCGCCTTTGTAGATAATGCAATTTAAGCTTTGTCAATCTGTCTTCAAGGATTGCTTATTGACCATAGGGAAAATAAAAATGAAAACCCACTATCATCCATTTGTATGAAAACAGTCCCCTGTCAGGCGTAGTGATTTCAATGCAATTTCAGTACTAATCCAATATTACTGTATAAACTAACAGTCCCCTGCCAGGCATGGTGACTTCAATGCGATTTCAGTAGTAATCCAATAATACTGCATAAACGCATAATATACATTTTAATTATCCACAACTGTAATCATTATTCGGTGATAAGTGCAAAAGTATAACAGCAACCCAAATGTCATACCGCAATTTTTGTAGAATCGTACATCTGACAGCATTGTAGGTGAGCTGAACATAAGAATAAAGGTAACTGCAGAAGTTCTATTGGCCCATACGAGGCTCCTATATATCTCCACCCAATCTCATTCATATTCATGTCCACCCTATGCTTAAAACAACCAAGGGATCCACTTAAGGTATTAGTTTACAATAATAGTTTTAATAAATAGCTGTCATTCTAGTTTTATACACAACAGCAATTATGAAACCCTATAGCTAGATATCGTACTGTAATCCACAAGTAGCTACCACACATCTGGCAGTACAGCGGATTATTAGCTGTGTTGATAGGCTAGTCAACTGTCCTCACATCCATCAAATAGCTATCCAAATGTCGCACCTCAATTCTTCCATCTAGCAACTTAGCTGGATGCTAGTCACTATATTCATAGCCTAATCATTTCTACACCTCAAAAATAAAAAATCCTAGTTTTTAAACCAACACTCGCAAATACATGCATACATACCTACACATACTCCACAACCCATGCATTCATAGAGAATAGCCTAGTTTTTTGCCACCATTTCCCCCATTAATCAGATGTGATTTATGCCATACACAGAAAATACAGCAGTTACACGCCAAATATGCCATTTATGCACAAAATATATTATTTACACTCAAAATATACCATCACACAAAAAAAAATATGACATTTACATACGAAATATGTCAGTTGGACACAAAAATATACCATTTACACAATATTGCATGTACACTCAGAGTATGACATTTACACAAAGTACGGTATTTGCACAAATATATCAAAATGCTTATACATTTACACAATTAAAAATGCGCTTTCACTAAAATTATACAATTTCACAAACATAATTTTCACAAAATACTCACACATTGTCTCATAAACCAAAATACACTTACACCATGAAGATCTAGTTTTCAGATTACAGAGCTTACACAATTTGCACACAAAAATACAGTTGCACCAGTTCCACTTTAGCCAATTAAAAACACAACTTGCATAAATGCACTATTAGCACAAAAATTACTATAAAACATGGAAAATTATTACACAAATTGTGTAATTATTATACATCTTTGCACAATTAATACAAGCAAACTTGCTATATAATTACTCAATTTGCACACTGGCAATCAATACACAAAGGTGTAAATAAACAATTCGTCCATATGCAATTACAGAACATGTGTAATTAATACACAACTTTCACAAATATTACGCATCTTTCATAATTATTACACAACTTGCACAAAATGCATATCTAGCACAAATACGTACAATACATAACTACCCCAAATTTGAAAATACACAACTAGCATAAATACACGATTTACACAAATACAATTGCGACATTTATACAACTTGCTCAAAAATATAATCAATACACAACTTACCAAAATATGAACAATACATAACTAGCACATATTCATTAAATACACAACTACACAATTTCCACAAATGCACATACAAAAACATATACAATTAATACATACAACTTGCACAAAACAATACACAGTTTATAGCAATATAATCAATACATAATTGCAATAATCATACAACGTATGCAAAATACATAATCTACACAATTAATACACAAGTATATTAATTGTGCTATATATGTGCAAATACAAACACAACCAACTAGGTCAAACAATACACAATTTGCATGATATTTTTCTAGGTATATTTAGGACATTAATTATAATATGCTGAGTTTAACCAACTCCCCAAAAGTCAGAATTTCACATATAAAAATGGTGCATATAACTTCTAATGAGCTCAATATAAAACACATTCATTTTCCATTAATATTTCAACATTATTAGTGCTAAACTATTCATCTAACATATGTCCATTGTTTTTAATGTCTTATTAATACCTTGTCACATCCTCTCCAATCAGGCCACCCATATTTATTTATGCAAACCATCTAACAGACTTATTTATTCTAGCCTTAGTTATGTTAGGTTTGGTGAAGTCAGTATTTTATATGATAATTTTAAGAAAATTTGCTATATCTTATCAAAAATGCATCCTATCAAAACCTAAATTCATCTAAATCTATCAAAAAAAAAATATACTTATACTTCACAAATTTACCTAAATTTAACCTAGCAAAAGCTAAACTAACTAAATATGAGCATCCCATATTCTCACATACAAGCCTATGTCACCTCTATCCATACATTACGTGAGTTGGCCATATAACTCGAACCCCAAATAGGAAAATTTACACTATTTCATAAACATGCTAGTTCATGACCCCTAAGATATTATATATATCTATATATGTCCTTCCCTACACAACCTCATCTAACCTGACCTAGCATATCCAAACCTAGATTTAGTTCAAGTTGGTAAAATTTAAGCTATGCCACCTAAATTCAATCTAATTTAAGGCAATTCCCACCAAATATCCCCAAATGTTGTGCACTGCCAAAGCCCATTTTTACCTACATTTTCTCCTATTCCATCCTACCCTATGCAACCTTACCTAACCTATCCTAGCATATCCAAACCTAGATTTGGTTAAAGTTGATGAAATTTAAGCTATTCCCACCTAAATTTGACCTAATTTAAGACAATTCCCACCAATATATCCAAATGTTCTGTATCTTAGCATTGCCAAAGCCCATTTTTTTACCTACATTTTCTCCTATTCCATCCTACCCTAAGCAACCTTACCTAACCTATCCTAGCATATCCAAACCTAGATTTGGTTAAAGTCGGCGAAATTTAAGTTATCCCATATAAATTTGACCTAATTTAAGACAATTTCCACCAAATACACCCAAAAATGTTTTGGAACATAGCACGGCCAAAGCTCATTTTAGCTGAGTTTTCACCTATTCCAACCTGCCCTAGACAACCCTACCCAGCCTCTCCTGGCATATCCAAAGTCAGATTTGATTATAGTTGGCAAAATTTATGCCTTTCCAACCTAAATTTTACCTAATTTAAGCCAATTTCCACCGAATATACCCAAATGTTTTGTTTCTTAGCATGGCCAAAGTTCATTTTAGCTGAGTTTTCGCCTATTCCAACCTGCCCTAGACAACCCTACCCGGCCTCTCCTGGCATATCCAAAGTCAGATTTGATTATAGTTGGCAAAATTTATGCCTTTGCCACCTAAATTTTACCTAATTTATGCCAATTTCCACCGAATATACCCAAATGTTTTGTATCTTAGCATGGCCAAAGTTCATTTCACCCAAGTTTTTCACCTATTCCATCTTACCTTACACAGCCTTACCTAACCTGACCTAGCATATCCCAAGCTAGATTTGATTAAAGTTCGTGAAATTTATGCTTACTCGCCTAAATTCAACCTAATTTAAGATAATTTCTACCCAATATACCCAAAATGATTTGTTACATAGCTCAGCCAAAGATCATTTTAGCCAAGTTTTCACATATTCCAACCTACCCTACATAGCCTTACCTATCCCTGACCTAGCAGATTTGATTAAAGTTTGGGAAATTTAAGCTATCGCCACCAAATTGGAGACAATTTCCACCAAATATGCCTAAATGTTGTGTATCATAGCACAGCCAAAACCTATTTTACCCACATTTTCACCCATTCCATCTGAACCTGGACCCAACCTCTGATGCGACATATACTCAGAGAAGTGATGTTTTTTGGATATGAACCTAAATGCCCGTGCCTAACCTGCAAGAGTCTTGGAGCTTTGT